GTGAATCGAAGAAGGCTGATGCACGTGTGATCTGTTTTGCTGAGTTGTATATTCCAACAGTTGTCATTGTTTTTGACAATTATCGCATTAAACTATTCAATCGGCTATGTGTGCTTTGTCCTTTATATCAATGCCAATTTACCATTTGAATGTAGAAATAGCATTATCTTTTCAAAAAATAGTTCATTTAGGAAAGATTAGATGTCCGTAAAATTTATAGAAGTTAGAACTTGAGTCCAAAATTAATTTATCTTAGCATTTGGGTCCTTATTAATTACGTCTAAATAATTTATTCAATCATGCTACATGTACATAGTCTTTTACATCTTTCTTTATATTGTGCCACGTGGCAGGACATCGTTGGACAATTAAAAAAAAAATCCCACCTATAATTTTTTGAAAACATGGATAATGTCAAAGAAAGTGTGCATAAAAAATGTATGCTTGGCATTATTGTAATTTCTTAACTATCGACGTGTCATTATTTTTATGAGCATAATACATAATTCAAAATCAACTTAGCCCCGTTCGGTTTGGATAAAAAAATAGATTTTTTAGTAAATTTTAGAAAAAAGTGTTTCTTGTTAACAGAGGTTGTAGAGCCCCCAATTTTGAAAGATTGGAACAGGGATGCAATAAATGGTAAGTGAGGGACATGAATGCCACACTCTGGAAAGATTAAGGACCCATGGAGGGATTTACACTTTAAAATGTAACGTTACTTTTTCTTATGCCTGTGCTCAACTGAGCCAAGCATGCTAATAAACCTAGCCGCCTGGCTTTGTCTTTCTCCTATATATTGTTCTGGAACACTAATCCTGAGAGCGCAGTCATAAAATGGAGCTGCCCACGTTGTGAGCGGTCTCCACTCTCGATCCATCCCTGACCTCAACAGAGGTTATCCGCTCCAAGCCACAACCAATTCTCCTTCCAATGCAAAAGCAATCCCACTTTAGTTCAGGTTGCTTCATTCCTTCTTCCTTTTTCCTCTGTTCAAGTTCTCTGCTTTTTATTTATTAGTATTAGACATCATTACGCATTTATTAAGGGCCTTGATGTCGATTTTTTAAAATAATTTTGTGAAAATTGATATTTTTGGTGAATGCGTGGTTAATTAGTGAGGAAAAAGTTATGGAGTGTGTGGTTAATTTGTGAGGACAAAGTTATGTGCTATTTTAGCGGGAGGATGTGGGGGTTGAAAATGAAAAATGAGTTTTAAAAAATCTGTATAAAACAGAAGCTTATTAAGTTTGCTTATTGAATTCTTTATTACTGTTATATCACACCTCGCAGGCACACTTTCGTATTATTGGAATTGTTTTCTAGACTGTTGGCACTAGGCAGATTTTGACCGCAACTTTTGGTGTGTGAACATCTTCCATATGTGAGGTAATAAAGATGCTATGTATAAATGTTGAAGATTTCCTGTCAAAATAGGCGAACATGGGCACTGTCACCAGTGTGGTGCCTAACCTTTTCACATGTGCTGAAATGTATAGACATAAAGTAAATTGCGTGAAGAGAGAGGGTTGTTCCTCTTGTAGATCATCATCTCCTTTAGTGGGGCACATGTTAATATGCCCCTTCTTGGTTCAGCTTAAAAGGTTTATTAAAATTTAAGTCAAAGTCTACAGTTAATTTCAACCACATATTTTATGAGATCCACTCCTTTTCAACCACATATTTCGTCAACTTTTATCAAAATCTACTAAAAATCTGATTTTTATCTAAACCAAATAGGGGCTAAATCTAAACGAGGAGCTTCAATCTATGCCACTCTCTCTACATTGATGACGTTTCCTCAGGACGTACTCCCCCACTTCGTCACTTGGCTCGGTTGTTAAACTGGTTTTCAAATAATGTGGCTTAGTTCTGGATTTGGTTATGGGAATTACATGCTGTCCACTTTAACTTTGTCAAGGGAGAGAGTTCAACTGCTCGTCTTAGTCTCGGGTTTTGAGATGGGGTCTGTGCAGGTTCTTTAATCTGGTTTGAGATGTCCAGTCTCGTTGTATGTTGTGTCTGGTTAGGTGAGACACTGGTCGACAGATGGCCCATTGGCTGTTGGTTGTCCTGCCCTAGTTTAGCTCTTCAGTCCTTTTTTTGGTGGCTAAGTCAGTGCAAAGGTTGCTACGGTGGAGAGTTGGTCAGTCAACCTCATCTTACTTGTCCTCTACAAATGTAAACAAATTGACATTAGAGGTTTATAATTGATATGTTAGCTTGTGCATTTAAAAAGTACTTGAGTGTTAGGATGCAATGTTATTTTGTTTGTTTGGCATTTATTAGTTAACATGAGGATTTAGTACATTACATCAACGAGGGAGTGCAATTAAAAACTGGTTGCTATGATGAGATACAGTATTTGTTGAAAGCTCACTGTGCTTGATGTAATATCGACAGTTGGTGTCGACCCTGAGGCGTTGGTTATCTGTGCAACTTGCAGTTTCTAGTATCATTGGTATTCCAGTATTCTGTCATAGAAGTTATTGGATAGAAATTTGGGTAATTTTACTGCAAGCTAATATCTAATAGTCACTATGAACGCTGACTTATTGTGTCTGGGTAATTCGATAATTTCCAGCATGATAATATCCTTTAATATTTTCTGCCAAGAGTTTAACAACATGTATCTTCATGTCAATTTCAAGTTCTCTCTTTGCTTGCTAATTTTCCAACTTATTTCTATTTCTTTCATCTTGTCTTTCACGTCTTTGTCATATGTTTGTTCTGGTTTATATAAATAAGCAAGTTGAACTTGGCTGTCATGACGAATATTTCAGTACATTGAACGCATTAATAATGCTTGATGAAACGTTGACTATGATGTCGATCCTGAGCGGTTACCTGAGCAGCCTTATGATATTAGTGACCTTTGTGCATATTCTTCCCGTATTCTATTCTCTGTGTCCTCGCAATATTTATATTGCTACTGGCATATATAATGCTAAAGATTTTAACCTCGATGTGCTTCCTCATTTCATTGAAATTGCTCTTCTAGTTTATGGGAACAGACATGTTTGCACAAGCTACCACTGTGCACTTATTCCTTTTTCGAGTCTTCTTCATACTTTGAACGTTTGACTCAACTTTATTTGTATTCGTTTATGTTATTTGAAAGTGAAAATGTAGTTATCATAAATGGAGTTTGCCCATGTGGCTTTAGGCTTTGATTGCTTTCCTGGCTCTACACGAAAACCCTTTATTCCATGCCTGGGTGAATATGAATGTCGTCTTCGTAGCTTACCATGATTTCCAGGAAGAAAGTAATTGCTAGCTTTTTGAAGGAATGTGCTTTTGGCCAGTAGGAAGAGTGGAGAATTTATATTTGGATTGTTAGTTTGTACACCTTTGGGTGGAGTTAGAATTTTAGAGTTGTAGGGACAACTTTCATAAAATTTTAATTATGAAGGCAAAATTCGAAACTATTAAGGATTTCTTTGAAAATATTGAGCAAAATTTTAGAATTAAGATTTAGGGCGTGTCTGGTGGCGCTAGATATCAAAATTTCAACCGTTGAAAAATCAAAAAATAGACCGTTGTTGCATTTCTTAATGGACAAAATCTGACACTTTTGCATTTGAGGGACAGTCCATTTATACCCATTTTCCAATTTTATCCCTTTGCAGTAGAGAACCTTGAGACTTTGCACATGTGATGAGGATGAAATTGTATTTTTGTGTTCAAATTCTCACCAATACTTCAAATGGTGGCAAAAAGTGGGACTGCATGATGTGACCCAAAAATTGATTTTGGTTTGGGAAAATTTCTCCCAGACACATTCTTAGTGTGTTGGTAGGTGACTCCATTGTCGATCCACCCATCTGTACTCTCTCTCTCTCTCTCTCTCTCTCTCATTTTGCATTTTTACTAGTGACTATGTATTACAATTTTATTTTATAGTAAGCATACTTGCTCTTAAAAGAATTTTAAAACAATCGTATTCTTTGGAAAAAAAGAAAGAAAAATGATGCCTCCATTGTTGAGGAGGGAGATGGTCTTCTTTTTTTATCAGTAAATGTAAATTAGATTGATTAAAAATCATGTACAAGTACATTGGACATACCTGAGTAGTCAAAGATCATGTAAGCATACAAGAACATTGGGTATACCTGGGCAAATAAAATGAAAATATGTACAAGCGACTAGATCTAGGGGTGGGCATGGGTTGGGTTGGTTTTTGCCTTATCCCAAATTCAATTCAACATGATCGGTTTGATCAAAATTTAAATTAATCCAACATGTGTAAAAGTTGAAATTCAATTCAATCAAATATTGGTCAGGTTGAGTTGGGTTGGTCGATTTGGAAACGACATGTCAACAAAAATTAAAATCATGCAATTTTTTATTATACTAAATTCGAATAGACAAGATTAAATAGTAAGTAAATAAATAAAATTATTTATTATCTTTTTTTATCCTCATTAGTCGAGTCTACAAATAATAAAGTGCATTTAACATAACATGAAAAATTTATATTACATTTTTTGTGCGAAGAACAGTAAGCTCTTCTTCTAAAATACAATAAGGTAATTACATTTACATTATCTACTCGTACTTTTTTCTTTTTTTTTTTTTTTTACTTTTCTAGGCATTTTATTATTATTTTTTTTTTTAAGTGTGGGAGTTGGATTGAGAAGGTTTATTTGGTTTTCATGTGTTAACCAGTAACTCGACCCGACTCAATCCAACCTACCTACACAGCCAATCCATCCAACCCGTGTAAAAAAATAAAAAAATTGACCCAACCCAATCGGGTTGGTTCGATTTTGGTGGATTCGGTCGGATTTTGCCCACCCTTAACTAGATCTAACGATCTAATGTTATAGACTCTAAATATATTAAAACATGCAGATGCAAAGAAAACTTAACTTTATATACGTGTGTATTGATTCGTCTAACAACGCTATCAACTTGTGGCCTTAAATCCTCAAAAAAAATTTCATTAAGTGTCATTCATAAGTGGTAAATGGTAGTAGCAAGTACAACTTGCTTCGCCTTACTTTGCTAAGATGTGCCTCGAGCCTCCTTTTTAATCCACTACATTGCACTAGGTAATGTAGACATGGAGCGTCTAATGTTAAGCTACACACGAACCATTTCCAAAACGGAAGCACTAAATTAACGTAAAGAAAATGTGTTGCAACGTTTCAGCCATTACACTACAAAAACAGNAAAAAAAAAAAAAAAAGGCATGCTTCGGTGTTATGTAGTTTCAAATAATTGTTATCCATGCTGTTTTTTGCCCCTTTGGCTGGAAAAATCATATGCAGCCCCTATATTGAATTTGCTCGAAATAGCTCATTCTTCTAGCCTTTGTGCGAGGCTGACTATCAACCCATCTTCGTGTGCCTGATTGCCCATCTCCATGTGGCTGTTGAGGTTGTGCAATTAGTCCACGTAATTCAACGTAAGAAAATTTTGTTAACCCACTTCACCCATAATGTCGTTCTTGCTATGAATGTTCCAAAGGGTTTTAGCGAATAGCGCCAAGTTCCAGCATTTCATCTATCTAAATCTAAGTCCACAATCATGTTTCGGTAAACAACCACTACTCTAAGCAACCAATGGCTTCTTAGACTCCCAAAGGAAGTTACGACAAATAGTAACGATCTTTGAAACAACTGTAGGCAAAATAGGTAAAATAGAAAGCCAAAAACATTCAACACCTTGAAGGACGACTCTCATGAGTTCCACTTTCCCCGCATAAGACGAGGAAGTCTTAGACCATGCTCTAACGAGGCTTGAGATTTTGTTGATAAAAGTGTCATGTGAGCTAACTTTCTATTTTGTCGCCGCAAGTGGTATTCCCAAATAACGAAATGGCATGGAACCCCTAGCCATGTTAGTCAATTGGTGAATGTCATCCAATTCTTGTATGTGAACATCTGTCGTATACAAGTTAGCCTGGTTCGCATTCATCACAAGTCCCGACGTGTCTCCAAAATTAGATAGACACTCCGTCATGATA